TAGCCACGTCAGCTGTCTATAAAAACATAATAACCCTTGATGCCGGAGATGTAATTGATGAACTATCAAAAAAAAAAACTCAAAAATTGATCTTGTTTTATTAAGTGTTTAGTAATAATTATAACTTAATAGGTATGTATTAAAAAAATGTGATTTAAAATAATTAGTTTTAAATGTTCAATATAAATTATTTTACTGTGTTTATATAAAATAATACATATAGCTGTATGGTAGGTAGCGACACCTCCCTAAGTTTATCCAATAAATTATCCATTCCCTAGGACAAAATCACTGGCGATCCGTAGCCACACGTACGTATTATTATGGGCATGTCTTGTATATTGCACCGCCCAGTGTCTTCTGTGATTGGACACCACTCCATGACCAAGGCCAACGTGCTGTCGATGTGAATGTGCGACGGCGTCATTCGTATGCCATGTCCCACGATTGATGATCAATTCCTTAATTTCATTGGTGCACAACCTTAATTATGCATAGTGTGATCATGATAGGTGATATTTGTTAAATTGATAAGCCTGCTTTAAGTGGTGTATGAAAATGAATTTTTGATTGGCAATAACCGCACCGTTTTATTATTATCCTAATGCTTTTGTGTTATTTTTACCCGACAAAAGCAGCTTATTTTGTTACAATATTCTTATCTAAATACGGCAATGGCCAATTAGCATTGTACCACAATAATTTATCGTTATTTTCATAAAAAGTAATTCATATTCGATTGAAGAATGAAGTTTTATAGATACGAAGTACCTACTTCCTCTTATACGGTACACAATAATAAATCAAGGATAATGTATATTTTTATAATATCAATAAAAATAAAATACAAATAAATGTGATTTTTTGACTAAAATTAATTCAACATACCGTAATTCCTGTAATAATAGAAACAACAAATATAAAATATCCTAAGAAATACAGTCTGACACTGACACACCATCTCCGCTCCGAATCGTTTTTTGTATATCGTGTAATATGCAATGGCTTATAATGATAAAGTAACATTTAATAAATCTATTATGATTACGATATATAACATTGTTTATAGTAGGAACTAATGAGATGTTCAAACCAATCGAGTATATGAACCATGATTTTCGAGTGAGTTTGATAAAGTTTTGAATAAATCGTCTCCTGTTCTAGTACCACTTAAACGTCTTAAACTCTCCACTTAATAATGCTTCCAACTCTACTGATACCTATTTCAAAATTATTATCACATTTTATACCTTGCAGTACAAATAAACAGTAGCTTCGCCGTTTTACGATACTTGAGTTAAGTCCGACGAGTTTCCTATGCCGTTGATATACAGGGCAGTATTTCAATTGTATTTGAAATATATTTAGTATTTTCTAATACAAAAAAATTATTATTTCTGTTTTGTATTTTGTATTTTCAAAATAAATAATAACTGATAATCGAATTCTCTGGTTTGAATTTCGTCCCAATTATTAAATAATAACGAGCTATACCGTTTTTATACCTAATAAATAATAATGTATCAAATAATTGTTGAGCTGTAATAGTTAAACTAAAAGCTAATAAAAAAAATAAAAATAATAATAATAATAATGTAATATATTAATATACAGATACACTATATATGGGGTTAGGAAAAAAAAGCAAGTGAATAAAAAGCAAAGGAAAAAAAGCAAGTGAAAAAAAGCATATGGAAAAAAAAACAAATTGAAAAAAAGCTAACGAAAAAAAAGCATATTAGAAAAAAAGCGAAAACCAATTATTATTAATATAGGTATAAATTTTACCTAATAATAAAAATTACTACTAAAGTATTCATTTTAGGATTATAACTTATGCTATAGCATACCAGTGAATTATTTTGATCAAACTTATATTTCGAGAATAAATAGACCAATTGGAATTTCACGGCCAGGTAAAAAAACTAAATTTCGAAATATTCCCCCAATCTTCCCACCTGCTACGTAGAATGTACACGAAACAACTATTAAAAATGCAGAGAGTACTAATATTCAAACAGATGGATTTAATCATCGATTTTCTAAACTCGTTAGCTATAATCATCCCTCTATTTGGACACTTATAAAAAAAATTAGATTAGAGATAGATTTAGATAGCACTATCATGTTTATGCACTTATTAACATGTAATACGTACACTTATGACTTATTATAACACAATATATTTAATTATTGAATTATTTTTTATTTGATTTTTTTTTAACAAACTATCTATAATAATTAATACCTATAATAATAATAATTGGTTTTCGCTTTTTTTCCAATATGCTTTTTTTTCAATTTGCTTTTTTCCATATGCTTTTTTTCACTTGCTTTTTTTCCTTTTCTTTTTATTCACTTGCTTTTTTTTCCTAAACTCCTATATATCTACTGTAGCCTATATTTAGGTATATTGTACTTATAATATAATATACAGAGTATACACTAACTTTACCAGTGGTTTACAAGTTTGCAACCGAAGTGTCGCGACACACTCGACACACTAACGTCGTGTATTACTGTAATGTATATACTCCAAAATTTGTTTATTTATATGTATTGTACGTGTGTCGTTTCAAATAAAAGGTTGAGAAGCTCTGGACTATACGGTATATAAATAGAGTCCCGCTTTGAATTTGGTGCCCGGGGCTAATTTTTTGGTGAGGCTTTTAACTTAAATTACAAATAAATTTTTGTTTTTGCTATTTTGTTTTTTAAATTGTATTTTTTAATGTTGATTGATATTGATGTATAATATACAAATAAATTATATAGGTACTATTATATATTACAGTAATAAATGTAAGCCGTGATTATCTTGAGGCCCGGGACATCAGCCTCCCCCCCCTTAGTAGTGATTTGGGTGTATAAAAACGAATCCGTTAATACGATTTACGATCCGTTCTTATCTAAAAAGTGTATTATTTCCAACGTACCAATTCGAACAGCGGCTGCGGCATGGCTGCAGGAGACTTGATTATATTTCTGCGTAGAACGTAATAACAACTAAATTTATATTGGTGACGGATAACGACTTAAGTGTTCGTGCGAAACGATAACGTTATTTCTATTATTAAACGACATAAAAACAATAACGCCGTGACACGTTTCCATGAGTCTGATTAACAACGTAATTGAAGATAAGCAATAAGAAACTAAAAAAATATTAATTTATATTTTGTTTTATACATTTTTAAATAAATATATAATGTATTATATTAATTTCTTTTCTTTTCAATTTTTTTGTTCAATGTAAAATTTTAATAGATAATGAGTAAGTTCTAAATAATTGTGATTTAACTTAAAATACTATCTAGCTACATGGAATTCTGCTCTGGGAAAACGCAAAAAAGTCAAACTTAAACAAAATTCAAACCTTTCAAAATTTTGCTCTCAGGAAATTTTCAAATCTTATTATGTATATCAAATCACACACTCCACAGACCACAGTCCTCACACAAATCTTAATCTAAAGACACTTAATGAAAAAGCCAATCTCTATTGTAAAAAGTTTCATGACAGGACAACTTACAACTCATACAAATCTTCTAATAATTAGTAACCTAGCGTTTGCCACCATATTCCGATTCGGCCATCCTCCAAAACGACTTCTAAGTGCCAAGTGGTGTCGAGATTTTTCGAGATCTTTTATGTAACTAACATGTGTACTGAGCTCCTCAATTGTCAACATTGGATGGGTTTTTTCTTCCAATTAATTCATGTTTTTTTTTACTCTTAGTACATATATGCTTATTGTGTAGTCAACTGATGCAGATTGTATATTACTTATTCAAAATAAAACATACAATACTTCCACAGCTGGTTAATAAATGACTATGGGCTGGATATTGCCCCCGGGTTATAAATGTATACACCCCTAATCCCTATAGTAGGTTATATAGTTGGTATGATTTTAGAGGCACTAAAAATTAACTATACTCTGTTTATCAAGGGATTAGATAGAAAACATTTTTACGCTAATTTTTTCTTTTTAACAAAACTATATAAGCAAATAAATAGATGCTAAAATAATTTAATTTAATAATATTATTATAACAACACACTATAGGTACCTATAAGTGTATAACAAAACAAATTGAAATACAGTTGTATAAAATAAAACGAAACACTGAACCTTTATACAACATTTCACAGTTATTTGTAAACATATCCTCATCGTGGTGACACAGTCACCGATGAATTCAATATGTTTATTTACTTAAATTAGGACCGTTCAATATTACCTAAATACCTACGAAAAAACGTAACTTCGATCTATTTACCTATACCATAACGATAAGTGATAACATAGTATAAATTATATAATTCCTGAATGTATATTCACTTTCATTTGGTGAATTATAATAGCCGTTGTTTATTGTTTGCTACTTCTTCAACAAATATTTCTGTATAATATATTAATATACACCTACACTCTATCTACATGTCGTTGCAGTTGAAGTTGATACGCGGTGCCTTGCGTTTAATTTACATAGGTGTAAATTTACTTTTGTACATACAATTGCAGCCAATAATGTATATTAACGGTAATTAAAAATTAAAACAAATACACACCAGGCGGTTATAAATCGTATACATATCATCATGACATTATGCATAGTAGTATGCCTATTATACGACACCTATTAACCGCGACACGTTTACTTCCCTATGCACGCGATAAGTCAACAAGTGGCCGAACATTCGGACAATCATAAAATGTGATTACTTGATTATGGTTACGTATACAATTATCATTGTCGTTTAATTACTACTGCATGTGTGCAGTATAAATACATCTAAATGTATGCACTGCCACCCCTTCTTCCCCTCAACCGCCAACCCACTTACATCATTAAACCGATAGAACGTAAAACAATAATTGCCGACTGCAATAGTTAAACAAATAAAGAAATAAAAGTTAACTCCCAGGTGTACCGCGATAGTTTCTTTATCGACCGCCAATCCTTACAAGCTTATGGTCGGCATATCCACCACACTTCAATAAGCGTGTATTGGGATAGTACGTGTATATATATAACTGTACAGTGTACAATATTTATCCTTGAAATGAAATTCATAACGACTATTACTGCAGTCGTCCTACCACTGCTCCTACTGTTAGCAATCAATCCGATCGATGGTTCGTATACAATTCACCCACCGTCAGGAATAAACTATGATTTCGATTTTTGTAATCTATCTACCTCTTTGTTTTGATTCAAGTAAAATTATCAATTATAAAATGTTAAGCGCCTCTGTATACCATTTTATTATTTCAACCTGAATAATTTGTCACCAGCGTGTAGTTGTTATTATTATTATATTTTCTTTTTTTATCGTAAGAAAATATTATAATATATACTAAGTCTTAATACACCTTCGATCCTTCTAACCTTTATACTATGTATTTTTTTTAATAACGTCAAATCTCTTTCAAAATTTAGCTCGTTTGTTGAGTTACATTTGGCAAAATTTAATCAACAACAATCCGGTCGAAAATTACAACACCCCGTTACAACAAGATGTGGTTGAAAATGACAGCGTCCCGATTCAACGAGACACGGTCGTAGATGAAGAAATTGCTCAGTCTGCAGAATATTCAGACCCTCGATCAATTTTTGTCGATGGGACTAGCTTAGATTTTGTCTATTGGAACTCGTATGTAACATTAAATAAGTTTTACATAATATTTAAGCTCCGTACTGAAATAGTAAATGTAGTACTTTGGTTATAATTTATTATAATCATTATTTACTATATATATTAGACAAACATATGAAATTAATCATTGTCATATGTTTTATTGAAACTATTAGTTTGCAAAACTTTAATTTTTTTTATCTGATGTTATGTTACCAGTATTGTATAACTCTACAAGCCTAGAGGTACTTACACTTAAAATTAAGATATTTATATTTGTATTTGTTTTAGAGACCTTGGAAATAATAAATCAATAATAATTGAATTTGGAAATGAAAAACAAATAATCAATCATTGGATTAGGGGTAAACCTTTAAAAGTCATAACGCATGGATGGCTTGGATCAGACGAAGATGACAGAGGAGTGTTTTCTATAAAAACAGGTAAATCAAAAAAAAAATGTTTAAATATATAAGTCCCCAACTGTAAATTATTAATTTCTGATATAATGATATTACCTATAAACTCAAATCAGGGAAATCGTATATTATTGTTTATTATATTTTGATAGTAAAGTTAAAGTAGATTATACAAAACTTTAAAATAAAGTGTCCAATCCAGGATTTTGCATCTGATTTATTTATTCGGTTTTTAGTGAGGTTGATACTGGATATATTCTAGTGATTCAACACTGAATTTTATTTTAAAAAATGGTCAAATATAAAAATGGGAAAAAAAGGATGTATTATAGTATAACTTAGCTATGAAAATTGTACCTATATACATATAATTGGTTGATATTTGTATACAACATACTTTAGAAAATATTAGATAATCGACATAAAAGGTGAGTACGGTAACGGTTTATCATATACAATCAAATACGATGAAGGTACAGTGTATATTGTTTATATGTGTTTATTTATATATGCATACATACATTTTACACCATTTGAAAAACTCACGAAAAGTATAGGTAATCTACAATATAAAAATAAAAATCAGCCAATTAAATGTATATATGAGTACTATATACATAGCTAGTAGCTACATAGCAAGTGCCAAGTATACAATAATATATAATTTTTTCAACCCAGAATTAGTATGTTGAATAAAATTATTATTGTATTAAAGGTTTTAATATAAGCGTAGTATACAAATTGTTTTGGTAAAAACGTGGTTAAATTAAGTAGATCTCATTTGGTGGATAAGGGAAAGGTACACTTTTGGTGGAAATGTGTTACGGCCGTTCGGATTCTCAATGGGTCTTACGGGTAAAACGAGTCCTGGTTAATTCAGATGCTAACTGTTAAGTCCTGGTCCTGCCTGCAGCCTATTAGTAACAAAAAAGCTGTGACATACTCGTATTACTAAATATTATAAAACATTATTTTGAATGCAAAACAATTAAAACTATATATTTTTATTTTCGAATACCTATTCAGCATATGTGGATGCTGGAGAATTCAACATTATCACCGCTGACTGGAATCGGGTGGCAAAAAACATAATGTACCCAATGCCGGCTTTTTTGACTGCTCAGGTGGGTTCCATAATCGCCAAATTCTTGGAAAATGTTGTCAACCTCGCGGTAATTGATCCGTCTGATATTCATGTTATCGGTCATAGTCTCGGTGCTCACGTGTCCGGGGCATGTGGTGCTGCATTCAGCCTTGGGAAAATTGGCAGAATTACAGGTATAAACATGCTATAATGATAAAATATCATAATAATCAGCCATGGTTATTACCAGGGATGGTCTAGGAACTATACGCTCTAAAAAACAATGAAATATTAAAAAATCCTAAAATAAGTATAGGTACTGTTGTTTTTTAATATCACTATTATTCCCCTTTTATCTTTTTTCCACATAATTGTTATTCTGCTGCAAAATTCAGGTCTAGACCCTGCTGGTCCTGGATTTGAGTACGTGTCACTTCGTTCAGACCACCTAGACAATACTGATGCAACATTTGTGGATGTAATCCATACGGCGATAGGAACAGCTGGATACTCAAAACCTTTAGGACACGCTGATTTTTATCCAAACGAGGGGAAACCCCCTCAACCTGGATGTTTTGAATCATACACGCCAAGCGGCATAGCAAAGCTCAGTAAGTTCCTGCGATGATGAGGTGATAAGTAACTAAACATTTTGTGCAGATGATTGAAAATAAACATGAATTTGGCAGTTTTAATGAAAGTAAATTAATAGCCAAGTAAGGCAAATTATTTTAATTGGTATACAGTTTAGACGATTATCTCTCATTGGACATTATACATAATATTATTATCAACTAAAAATGTGCTGTGTGCTGGATAATTTACAGTCGGTTGCAGCCATTCGAGATCGCATCAATTTTACACAGATTCAATCTATCATAGAAATTCATTTTTAGCTACAGAATGTCCTTCATGGGATGAGTATACGAGTGGCGAATGCAAAAATAATAATAAAAGTTATATGGGGCATGACGCAAATCCAAAGTAAGAAAAATACTTATAAAGTTTAAATTATAATTGATTAACTTAAGTATACGAATATGTACGATGACCACCAGAATTGTATTGTTATGGGATATTAAAAATAACGAATAGTTGCCTATACAATGCTCCTTAAAATTGAGCAGAGTTATGTTTGTAAACTAATTGTTTATGCAAAATTTAAGATTTTAAGGACTTCTATAATTCTGGGTTGGTGAATATTTGTACACGTGGAAAATATATTGAATAATAAAATATAACTGTGGAAAGTACAGCATTCCTGTGTATACATATATAATTATCTGGATTTAAATCATATTTATAACTTTAAATTTTTTTCTGAGCATATTATAATTTATTTACATTTTAAGTAATGCTTCAAAGATAATCTGCCAATATATGTGTATTATATTTTTAATATCTTGTCTCAATACTCGTACAACGGGATTCAAAACTAAAAAGTAGTCAAGCCAGGAATATTGATTTTAAAAATAATTCGCTGAACGAAGTTAAGTAGGCATCTAAACAATAAAATTCAAGTTATTATAAGTGAATCGATGTAATTAAAATCGTTTCTCTGATCCAGTTTTCGTATTTTTAGAATACAAAAAAATAAATCCTTACTGTTTTACATATTATAGGTACTTCCAAGAAAAAACAAAGTAAACTCGACTTGTACAGGTACATACAACTAGTAAATTATATAATAACGGTAACGATAGTAGGTTATATTATAAATCCACCTATTTATTACTTAATTCTTTTACGCATGGGGTCTTCGAATTGTTATCACTCCATTTTTTAAGTATCTTAATGTAGGTAGTTAATCGTATTTGAATTTATGTAGGTAAATTATTCTAACATAAAATGAATAATAAAACAATTAAATGATGGCACCACGACATTGAGTATATTATATTATACGGCAGCATTAGATACGCTTAATATATTACATCGAGAACGAATAATAATTGTTGACAAAATGCTAATATATTACACTAAAAATGTGTAATGTTATAAATTATAACTATATAGCTATATAAGTATTAAGTATACCTACATAATATATGCATTCGTGAACTCGCTTAAACTGGAAAAACAATTTTAATTGTATTCATTATTTTTTTTGTCATCAATATTTTTTAGAGCAAGTGGGATTTTTTACCTGGAGACCAACGGTATTGTCCCTTATGGAATGTTGAATAACACACCATGAAAACATAAGCCACAGTCTTACATACGATTGTTTTTTTTTTATTTATGTACAGTTTCTTTACTATTTTTTAATTTCAGTTTAAACTAAGATGTTTATTTTTATAATATTTTTAAGATTTATGTCGAATGAATTAACCGTTTTTAAATACATCACCATTATCATCTATACAATATATTTAATTATATTATTTTTTTATGTGTAATATATCCTACACTCTTATTCTTATAATACAGAAAACAAATTGTTATGAATTAATTGCTTTTATTATTTTTAAATTAAACACTTGCCATTTCATAATAATTAATATACACACAACAACTATACAACTACACTGTTTACACTCACAAATCACAACTTAACAACTTTTGATATATTATATTATTTGAAAACCTCGATTCATCATTCTTAACGACACAAAAGTTACTTGAAATTGCTCTTTAGGTAGCCTTTGGAGTTAAGTGGGTGTACCCACCATCACCGAAGTCTAGTTTCTATTAACTTATTTTGTTTTTATTTATTTTTTAATACATATCAATATATCATAAACTATATACACTTTTTTATGCCATTTAAATTATTTAATGTACTTGTTTTTATTTTGGAATCGAAATTAACAAAGTTTTTACTTAAATAAAAATCACAAACCTTGGTAGTTGAAAATTGATGTGCCGGATGAAAACTAGGTGCGTATCACGAGGGACAGAGAAGACATGTTTGAGTATTTACCATGTCTCGTTAATTGTTATATCAAACGCATTTAAAAACCATTTATTTACGCTTTAACAATAGCGTGTAAGGAAAATAAGTAGAGTTTTAAATGCCTTCGGCGCTGCGGCTACATTAAACGCTATGTCCAAAAACTCTAGGTGTGCTATACTGTCTTAATAATTTATATTTTATAATACACGTTTATAATTGAATGTCGAGCTGACTCCAAGTCTGATATTGGTCTGATTTTCAGTTGGTATAAGTATATTGGTACTAGGTATAGCATAGATATACGAATACCTGAGATGCGTAGTAAAATACAACTACATAAGTCATAATTGGATAAATGTAATTACTAACTATATTGTATATTATTGTCATTTTCCTATAGTAATTATATTTATTATTAAATTCTTATAATTATTAAAAAAAATAATGATTTAAAATACTTGTAAGTTGTATTTATTGTATTTTATAACAGTCTATCTACAATTTCACGAAGTTCTATGTGCAGATTTCATACTTACGACACTGCTAACCTAACCACAACGTCCACAACTAAGTATTCAAAAAAAATGATACGAAATCACGTGGAACTTAAATGTAGTAATATATTTTTATAATCCAAAACTTAATACAATATTTTCAATATTACCGTTATTCCTTTTTAAATTCTCCTATTATTACAAGAAAGTTAGGGCAGTTTCACACGGATTATTTTCTCATTTACATATCATACGTTAATTGCATGATATTATTTATGTATTAATTGACGAATTGATCGTTTCACATATTGACGCGTTTTTCCAATCTATACGCAAGTGAAACCGTACGTGATTGCGATTGTATTTTATTGGTAGTTTTTATTTGTATTATTTCGAGAACACCTTTACTTATCATTCACTAAATACCTAGGTAATAAATTGTATATCTTATTTTCACGATTAAACGACTAATGAAAAAAGAAGCTAAAAAAAAAATTTGCCAGACCATGTTTTTTTGTAATTTAATATATACCTATATCAGGCATGAGAATAGTCATAGAATATTTAAAAAGTCTAACCACGTGAGTCATATATTATTTCATATACATACGCATACAAATCTAATATTAAATATAGATAAATAATATTTTATACATTTTTCAAATTACTTTAAAGACCAAGAAGTTTGATACATACCTTCTATAGTCTATACCATGGATATAATATGTCTATATCTAAGCCTGGATATGGGAGGTCCAGGGGGAGCCACGATCATCGGGCCCCAATAATTTAAATTTATTTAGAGCCTCAAACTAATTTTTCCATTACTTATTTCATTGTAAACTATGACGTTTCATAAAATATCACATAAAATAAAAAATTGATGATTATATTTCTGACGACATTTGACACGATTGAATATAAACTCATACATTTTAACTATAAATAATACATACCTATAAAATATATTAAACGCTATAGAGAATAGACTAGTAAAGTAGTACTTGATAATGTACAGACCTACGTCCTACAGTCAATTAAGTCAAACAAATAAAATTTTTAACTTTTAACTATACCAAGTTCAAACTGTTCAGCCGAAAGAGCTTTTTCAAAATTCAATAGAGTCAAGAACAGATACAGATCAACATTAAACCAAAACAATTTGACTGCGTTTTGATTCTGGCATCTGAAAACGAGATTCTTAAAATAATTAATTGTGAAATAATAATTAATGAATTTCGTCAAACAAAAGCGAGGGTAAAAGCTTTTAAATTATATATTATAAATAAAGTTATACATTATTAATTATTTATTGATATGTATTATAAATATTTTTATTATAATTGGTATATACTATAATACATACATAATTTTTTTTTCGTACCGGGTCCTCATTTAAAACTTTGGTCCCAGGACCTCAAAATGTCTTAATCCGGGCTTGTGTATATCTAACCATTAGTTACAGATGGTTAGTGATTACTCAATAAATGTATAACGATGAATATTCATCATAATTGATGATTCTGAACAGATTCTGTGTTCACTCCACCTTAAAGAACCCATTAACACAATGTCACGATCAAATTATTGTATTAATAAACGTACTTATATAGCTAATAATGTTGATCGTGTATTGATGATATTGAAGGCGTGTTCGAAGTATTGAAAATATCAAAACTATTTGGATATTCATCGATCAATAATAATTGATACGATAAAATTGATCGTGGATCGGGTATTGTGACCCTATATTAACGCATAACTTGTTAAATTTCACGTTCACATTTTCAGAATAATTCATTGTACTAAATTATTTTGAATATCAGAGAGTGAATTCACCTATTATTAAATATAAGTGTAATTTAGTAATTATATTATCCAGGGCTCCCGTTGGCAATTGTTTGATATTTTAATTTTAGAGCGAGTATTATAACTTTGTGAACATTTTGAAAATTTAAAAAAAAATGTTTGATAATATCAACCGGGCAAAACATGACCATAGGAATAATATTCGGTTGGTAACAATGGTTGCAGTGTGTCCACTTTCCACTGACACATGATCGTGCTTACAATAATATTGTGCACGATGCGTCCGTACGACGCATAATATAGTTGTGGTACACTGGTACGATCCCGAGGTACTTTGCAGCACGAATCCCGATTTTAGATATAGGTATATCCGTAGTATTGTAGTCTGTACCGAGTGCACTCTGTAGTGGTGTAGTGTACAACTTTACTGTATAACTTACTCTACCGTCGACTATTTACTAGTCTTAGGTCTGCGACTGACGGCTGAGCGCATTGCGTATGTGCGTGTGTACGTTAGTGTCTTGATCTTACGTAGTTTCGTTTACGTGTTTTTACTTCAGTGGCCAGTACTCCAGGAATTGTTACGTGCTGTTTAGTACTTTGCGTTCAACTGTTAACTTATTTTATTTGTACGTTGTCTAACGTCCTTACACGACTCGATACAATCAGTAAGACAGTAAACTATCTTTCAGAAGTCATTGGTGAATTTTCCGTTTGGTCAACGCCATGTCGTTCGTCCAAGTTTCTGAAACAAATGACGGCGATAAAGAGGTGGTGGACTTGCCGCTGGAAAAAGATGGTACCCTCTTGTTGTCCACGCTTCGTGCACAATATCCGGATGCTTGTGGCTTAAAGTACGTAGCTCCGGATAATGGCCGAACCCGAGCTCTGCGGCTTGCCGATGATAAGCTGCATCCACCTACTGATGATGGGTGGGGCGACATTGTATACTTTTGCTCCTTCAACAAGGGTATGTTGGTTTGATTATTAAAACTATGTACCAATGTTGTATAATATACATTATATTATAGGTATGTTTGTATAATTGATTTATTTAATTTGAGACGATACCTATGTATGAGAATATTGGAAAAAGGTTTCAGTCAATCGGAATCGTCTAATAAACAGACAGTAACATCTTTTTATAATTAAAATGGTTTCTGTTAATGGTTCATTCCATATTATTATGGTGAAGTTATGTGTTGAAAACTCAACAAGTGTTGGAACTAGGTATTCATTCTCATTTATGTTTGTATAAAATTGTATGAATATAGTTTCATAGAATTTATTGTTTTCATTTTGAATTCTAATGAAATCTAAGTATTCAACTTTTATGTAAGAATGAAAACCTTGTTGAACAAGTCTAAACCCTCATCTAAACATATATATTAAAATATTATCTAGGTACCTATTTAAATTATTTACATAATATTTCTTAAATAAGTTTGATGTATTTAAGGAATCATGTGAAATTATATGTAACCATTTTATAATGTTGAGGAATGATAATGATATGTGTGTTCAGATAATGGACAGAAAAGGAAATTGAACGAAGAATTTGAAAGTGATGTTGAGCGAGCATCCAAGGATCCCAAGTCTGAGGCAACATCAACAGCTTGGAAGAATCGTGATTTACTTGTGCTCGGTTTACCATGGAAAACGACTGATGAGGACTTAGAAAGTTACTTTAGTAAATACGGTGAACTGCGCATGGCACAAGTTAGTTAAATAAAATAACAAAGAAAAAAGGGTTTGTAAATTAGGAAATGTATGAATGTGATATAAAGTTAGTTCTTTATATTTGGTTTGTGAAAATATATTTTTAGTGTTCGAATTTAATCTTCCAATTTATCAATTATGTGTAGTAACAAGTTAGGTATTTTATTTTCATTTCATTTTTTAATTTAGATTAAAAAGACAACTGATGGTAGATCAAGAGGTTTTGGATTCATACGATTTAAAGAACAAGAATCTCAAGTGCGGTCAATGTTAGATTCTCATGTGATAAATGGAAGGCGATGTGAGATTAAAATACCAAACATTAAGGTACTTATAATATACTGCTAAATTAATTTTATTGAAATTAATGATTATGTTAGGTACATCCAATTTTAAACGTTTTATAACTTAAATTAAGCTATATTAATTTATATTATATTTGTAAGATACACAAGCACAAATTGGTAAACATTTGTAGGAAGAAGGTTAATTATTACTCAATTA